GCTAATTCTCAGGAATGTGGGGATGTGTATGATTCTTTGTTTTTTTTTTTTTTTACTTTAAAAAATAAGTTACAAAAAGAACGTCTTTGTAGAAAAAGAACAGGGGCACCGTATTTTATTTCTCACTTGTTTCTCTGTGACAGCAAGTGCATTTGAAGGGAACGATTTTTTGTTTCCTTGGTATCTCTTCAGAGATACGAACAATTTTATTCTGGTTATACCTATGGGATAGGTACTGTTTTCCAGTGTTATTGGTTTCTAGGCTTAGCTGTTGCTGCAGGTCTAATTTATATAAATCATACAGTTTAAAGCCAAGCAGTCTAGACACGTTGTAATTTCCTTCAGCCAATAGTTCTATCGAAGTTCTGAACAAAACAGATGGCAGGCCCTTTCAGTTTATAAGGATGGAGGCATCCAGATCCTGTGTGTCGGCGGATATTTATGGAAGGGCTCCTGGAGGAGGCAAGCGTACCCGAAACTGCAGCTGCATCACTGCTGCAGAAACGAGAGCGTGTTCGGGGGACACCTGGGCTCCTGACGGTCTGACGACCGCTCTGGTAACGTCCAGCCGTTCCGGGGAACGTGGTTTCACGGCAGGTCCTGGCCGAGGTCCCGCCTTCCTAGAGCCCGTCGTTGCCGTGACGCTACCCCTGCGTGCCTGTCTGTGGCCCCACCTACGTTTGACCAACCCACTTCTTCATTCAAACTGCCCCCGAGGATGAGCTGATTGATGGCCACGTACCACGTGTAGTCAGCCTGGCGCACCTGCTGGTAATGCCATCCTGGAAGGAGACGGTGGGCTTGCCAGGCACACCAGGGCTCCCACAGAGGAAGACGGGCCCCGGAGTCTAAGTTCAGGCTCAACAGTCCGGGACGCGGGTGTTAGCAGCAGTCACCAGGGAGGGAGTGGATGCAGACTCTTTCTGTTTTCCCCAGTATATTGTGTACCTTGAATTCTCAGACTTTAGGTAAATACATTATGCCGATTAGTCCTGTAAGTAATTCCCAGCAGACAGGATTTTTTTTTTTTTTTTTTTAATGAGAGTCATTATGGTCTAGTAGGAAGTTGATCCTATTCAGTGTGTTTGGGAGGAGGAGTCAGAAGACCAGTTTCCATCCCGCCTGCTGCTAGCACGTGGGTCCCTGAGTGAGTCTGTAACCAGTTTTCGGCCTTGATTTCAGAAGTAACAGAGTGAATAAGCTAGATTAAATTAAAAAAACACATTCTTTGCATTTTCATGCATTTCAGAAGCGTATTGTTATCTTTAAGTCTAAATTTATTGGATTCAGGTGGATTTAGATATTTACATATATGTACCTGTAAGTATAAAATATATAATAATGCATAAATACTATTTTGTATATAGATAATACAAATATTTTGTATATAAATAATATAAATATTATTTTTTTCAAACCAGTAAAACTGGGAAACAGAAGAATAGGCCTTAGCAGTGGTAACTCTAAAACATCAGTTCTTTTCTATACATATGAGTAAGAACCATGATGTAATCAGTGATTGTTATAAATTATGTGTGTAGTAGAGATCATATTGACACTGAATAACTTATTGCTTAAATGGATATGGTCAGTATTTCTCCTCTCTCATGAATAATAAAATGTGCCTAATGTCTAAGAATATTAAATTTCAAAGAAAGTCTAGGGCATAGCTTCTGACGGTGTGGTGGAGTAAGCATCTTAAAAACACTTTCCACTTCAAAATACAAGTATTGCGTAAATGTACAGCTTGTATTGCACAGCTGAGCTGGCAAGAAAGTAATGTTTGTGTGTAAAGCATTTTCGGGTGCCTGCTAATCGGGGGTGGGGGTCAGGGGTACTCAGTTCCCAACAGGGAGTTGTTCCCAGGGGGACGTCCACATGTGTCCTTAGGATCCTCCAAAATAAGGTAGCCATTTTCTGGCACAATTTTAAGGTAGGTTAAAAAAAATTTTTTTTTAATGTTTTTATTCATTTCTAGGAGAGAGAGAGAGAGAGACAGCGTGAGCAGGGGAGGGTCAGAGAGAGCGGGAGATACAGACTCTGAAACAGGCTCCAGGCTCTGAGCTGGCAGTCAGCACAGAGCCTGTGTTTTAACCCATAACCTGTTTTATGATCGCCCAGTCACATTCAGCCTGAAAGCCACTCTCATTCAGGTAAGAGAAAAAAACTAAAAGGAGAGAAACAGACCTTATAGATTGACAGGAGAAAGGTAGGCTAGTTAGATAGTTCTGGAACACCATTCATAAATTTGGAACACCAAAGATCACCAGAAAACCAATAGCACGAATAGAAGATGAAGTAAGAGAAAAACTGACTTCAGGAGAATGGGAGTGATACAAGAAGTAGATGGANTCTCGCGGTTCGTGGGTTCGAGCCCCGCGTCGGGCTCTGTGCTGACAGCCAGCTCAGAGCCTGGAGCCTGTTTCAGAGTCTGTATCTCCCTCTCTCGCTGACCCTCCCCTGCTCACGCTGTCTCTCTCTCTCCTGGAAATAAATAAATTAAAAGAAAATAATGTGAAAAAAATTAAAGCTAATCTAGAACAGACCTTCCAAATTATCTGTATGGCAATAATCTCAGATTCTCCCTCTCCTTTAAAAATTTCTAGATCAGCCCTATGCCATGGTGACTTGCAGTGGCATTTTTGCGTTTGCTCACCCAGAAGCAGGAGAGACTTTGAATCTGCCTGATCATTTGTTGACTCCTTATCTTTGACAGGAAGCTTCTTTTTGTTAATCATAATAAAGAAATCTGTTTGCATTTCAGTGTATCTTTTCCCCCCAGTAACAGTAGCAATTTGTTCTTCAATTTGTAGCTAAAACAGAATACAAAATGCACAGCTTTAAGAAAGAGAAAAAGCAAGGTCAAAGCGAGAGAAGCTCAGCCCTGACATCTGGAGCTGGCGGGTGCTCGCGGGGGTGCGGTGGCCTCCTCCCGTCGGACGCAAGCAGGCTCAGAACACCCACCTCACACAGGGTCATGCTTAGACCATGACGGAGTGAGACACAGCAAGACCGCGTTTTAACTTTGTCGAAGCACAGACAAAAACGAGGGCGCTGTGCAAACCCACACATACTGAGCATCGCTCTCCGCCGAAATGAATGGCTGCTCCTTTGTCCGTTACGACTTTATCTTCCACCTAGTCTGCCCTCCAGATACTCGTGTTTATCGAGACACTCAATCCTCAGATTGCCTTCGCTTTCTACGGGTCCAATCCAGTGAACTCAGACCCTCAGATCTTCTTCCAAACCACCCAGGCAGAGCTCAGATCCGCTCCAGGTGCTGACGGGGCTTACTAGTGCCGCAGCTCCCCCTGGTGTGGGCTCTCCCCTGCTGCAGTGGGACACCCACCCGTCCCGCCCCACTGTCCCTGGGTGCCTGGTGGTCTTGGCTGAAGACGTCAGCAGCTTGAAGATAAAAACCATGACGTGAAGTGATGTAAAGATTATTTGACTCACTGCAAAAAATCCAGAGAATTTTTTGGAAAGCATAAATGCTGTTCCTTAGGCAACTGTGCGTGTGTGTGTGTGTGTGTGTTCTCTGTCTTGTTTAATATATCACAGATTAGGACTGACTACATAATTTATGAGGCCACGTGAAAATGTGGGGCCCTTTGCTCGATAGTCATTAAAAATTTTGAGACAATGAGGGGCGCCTGGACGGCTCAGTCTGTTAAGCATCTGACTTCGGTGCAGGTCACGAAGGTGAGTTAGAGCCTCCCCTGGGTGAGCTCAGGCCGTGCGTCAGGTGAGGTGAGCCCCACTTCGGGTGAGCCCTGGGCGGGGTCTAATGCTGTGCTGTGAGCACCTCCCTGTGAGCACCGGTCTCTGTGACCTGGTCCTGATTACGAGGCACCTTCTCTCAGCCCTGTTCCTCTGGGATTGAGAGAAATGGGTGAAGAGCTACTACTTTCCAATCTTCCCTCCTATTGGCCTCGTCTCATCTCTTAAAAAAAAAAAAAAAAAATTGTGGTAAAATACTGTCTTAACAATTTCTCAGTGTCCAGTCAGTGGTACTAAGTGCCTCCTCATTGTACAGCCGTCCGGCTCCACAAGGTCGTCTTGCAGAACGGAAGCTGCGTCCCCGAACCCAGTTACCCCGATCCGCCCGGCAACCGGCATTGTAGCCCCGCCTCGGGGGGTCGCGGTCCTGGGCCTCACATAGGTGGAATCGCACAGCTTTTGTCATTTTGTGCCGGGCTTATTTCACTTGGCCTGGCGCCTCAAGGCCCTTCCAGCTGGTGCGCGACGGGGTTTCCTTCCTTGTTAAGGCTGCCTCCCAGCGGATGCACACGCCGCCTTAGGTCAGCCCTTCACCTTCACCACCTTCACCACTTTCACCTTCACCTTCACCACCTTCACCACCACCTTCACCACCTTCACCTTCACCACCTTCACCACCACCTTCACCTTCACCACCTTCACCTTCACCTTCACCGCGTGCGGACTCCGGTTGTGCCCATGGTTTGTTATTGGAAACAACGCTGCTGTGAACATGGATGGACCTGCTTTCAGTTTGGGGGGTGTAGCCGGGACCGGAGCTGGGGGGTCGTTGGGTAGTTCCGTTTTTACCCGAGAAATGATCCAGCTGCCACAGCGGCCGGCCTTTTACGTTCCCCCAGGGTTTCGGTTTCCCCACACCCTCACTAGCTCTTGGTTTACGTATTTATTTGCCCTAATGGGTGTGAAGTGGTTTATCACTGTGGTTGTGATTTGCGTTTCCCTACTGATTAGTGATGTTTACCTTTGTTTTAATTAAAAAAAAATTTGGCGTCAAATTTTTTTGAGAGAGACAGAGAGACAGTACGAGAAGGGGGGGCATAGAGAGAGAGAACGAGAAGGGGGGCAGAGAGAGAGAGGGAGAGAGAGAACCACGTGAACTGTGAGATGGTGACCTGAGCCCAGATCAGGAGTCGGACGCTTAACCGGCGGAGCCACGCAGGCGCCCCTCCTGTTGTTCTTAAATTTGCCTCGAATACTCAGAGGATGGCTCTTCTTTCTAGGAAGGAGATGGCGTTCCTGGAGCGGTCCGGGTGCCTGAAAGGCCGTCTGAGCGCCGAGGAGCAGGGGTCGCTGGTCAGCGGTTGCTTGGACATCCGAGAAGCAGTAGGGGGCGCCCTGCACATTCAGGTGAGTCCGGGCCTGGGAAGAACAGGGGGGTGAAGGGCAGTTGCACGGTGTGCGCACCTTGACCTTGACCGCGGACGTCAGGGTTCTGTGTTGTGTTACTTTGTGTCAGAACACGTCCTCCGTAGGCGCTCCTCCCAGGCCTGTTCACAGGTGTTGGAATTTGAGCAGAACTAGGCGTTCGGCACCGCCAGCACGTTTACGGCTGTTTTATTTTCCTGTTGAGTCAGAGCTCGTATTCTCGTATATTCTCGTCCTGGTGTAGAATTGAGCGCAAGCTTAAAGACATCACCGAAAATAACCCTTTTCCTTTCTTGTCGGATTTGCACTTAGCTTTTCCAGCAGCTTCACGTTAACAAAGAACTGTGGACAGAGGGGAGGAAGCTCCAGGCGGGGCAGGGGGGACGGGCTTGGGGGGGGCGGGCTGGGGAGGCGGCGGGGCAGGGGGGACGGGCTCGGGGGGGCGGCGGGGCAGGGGGCCCCTGTGTGGACAGCCCCTGCCCCTACTGAAGAACCCCCGGGGAATAAATTGGTCTTTTAAAAAGGTCACCTTTGCGCCCTCGGGTGTAGCGGCTCCTCCTAACCCGGCCTGGCTCCTGGTGCCCTTTCTTGCCGCTACGGGTCCTGAGGCTCGTTCGTGGCCATTGTTCACGTTTCATTTTGTTTCTGTCATGACGTTCTAGCTGAGAATTTGGGAGCAAAACAAAAAGCCAGTGTGTTCTGGGGTCTGGGGTCAGCTGCCGCTTTGAGACGAAGTCACATCCAGGCGATCCAGGGTCTCCTTTTAGCACTAGGTTCCTCTAGTTCCTTCAACAATGGGTTGTCGGGCCTGGGTGGTTCAGCCAGTTAAGTGTCTGGCTCTCTCTCTCTCTCTTTTTTAATGTTTATTTTTGAGAGAGTGTGTGTGTGGGGGGGGGCACAGAATCTGAAGCAGGCTCCAGGCCCCAGGCTCCCAGCTGTCAGCACAGAGCCCGACACACACAGAGCCCGTCGCAGGGTTTAAACCCACCAACCACGAGATCATGACCTGAGCCAAAGTCTGATGCTTAACCCACTGAGCCCCTCAGGCGCCCCTAAGCATCTGACTCTTGATCTCGGCTCAGGACATGATCTCATGGTTCATGAATTCAGGTTCTGCGTCGGGCTCTGTGCTGACAGCATGGATTCTGCTTGGGATTCTCTCTCCCTCTCTCTCTGCCTCTCTCTCTCTCTTTTTCTCTCTCTCAAAATAAATAAACACTAAAAAAACCCGAAAATGAGTGTCAAACAGAACATAAGAAGAGCTTTTTTAACACACATGTGATATAGCATAGGAAGTTTTATGTCCAGCCTCTACTACTAATTCTCAAAGCTTTGGGTGTTTTTTTCTCTCTGTGGTGCTATACTTGTTTCTCATGTAACAGCTGGCTATGTTACTTTTTTGTGTTAAAGTGATCTTTATAAAGTTAGTTTACAAGTTTTCCTGCAGTAGCAATTGTGAAGCCATGCCCTACGAATAATTAAAATGTTAAATTTCTTTGTCTCCTGGTCCCATTTTGAAAAATAGATTTCATCAGATGATCTCTGTGCTAGCATGATTGAATTAGTTCAGACCAATGTGTCTTCCCCAAACAGTAAATTATTTAAAAAAAAAAAAAAAAGTACCACATAATAGGAGAACTTTATAGTGACTTGAGTATAAGATGAGTCTTCCTTTTATGGGGTAGTTTTGGGGGAATACTCTGAGTTAATAATGCATGTGAAATGCTTAGCCATAGCACTTGGCACATAGAAAATGCTTAAAAATGTGTAAAATAAATAATTTTATATTGTGAGCATTTGTGTACAATTTTGATACAAATGATGTGGGGTAACGCCTGTTGTTCTATGCATAGTGCTGAAAATTGCTAAGGTCTGTATTTTGTAGATTGAATATGTGACATTGACATACTGAGCAGTAGCCATGGCACAGGACAGCACCAAGTCAGGCAGTGTGGACTGACGATGTAAACTCTGCTGGATTTATTTCCTATCAGAGTTTATGTTCTTAGGAAATTACTTGTACTTCTAGTTCCATGAAGGGTAATGGGGAGGAGCCCAGATCTGAGCCGGGAGGGTTTGGGAAGGCTTGATGAAGGCAGGGTATGAGCCTGGTTTGGCTGCAGACAAGTGGATTCTGGGGAACGGGTGGGGACAGTGTCTCAGTAAGAAATGAACAGACCATGGGGCACCTGGGGGGCTCAGTCGGTTGGGCATCCGACTTCGGCTCAGGTCGTGATCTCACGGTTTGTGGGTTTGAGCCCCACGTCGGGCTCTGTGCTGACAGCTCAGAGCCTGGAGCCCGCTTCACATGCTGTGTCTCCCTCTCTGTCTGCCCCTCCCCTGCTCAAGTTCTGTCTCTCTCTGTCTCTCAAAAATAAACATTGAGGGGCGCCTGGGTGGCTTAGTCGGTTAAGCGTCCGACTTTCGCTTAGGTCATGATCTCGCGGTTGGTGGGTTCGAGCCCCGCGTCGGGCTCTGTGCTGACTGCCAGCTCAGAGCCTGGAGCCTGTTTCAGAGTCTGTGTCTCCCTCTCTCTCTGACCCTCCCCTGCTCACGCTGTCTCTCTCTCTCCTAGAAATAAAAATAAAAATAAAAATAAATATTTAAAAAAAAAATAAACATTGAAAAAATAAAACTTAGAACACTTTTTGCTGTGTGATTTGCCCAAGGTTCTATCAGATTTAAGTATAATTTTTGGACTTAAGGTAACTGTTATGTTTATCTCATGATATCTAATCTGAGAGAACCTTCCATCTAAGAATGATATTAAAGCTGAAGCCCCAAAGCGCCCGATGTCTGCTGTCTTCTCTCCTCCGCGACTCCCGGAGCTGCCTCCTCCTCGCGCCCATGGACTTCTTGCCAGCTGTCCCCTTATCAGCTCTTACAATTCTGCTTTCCAGTTTATAAAAGAAAAATTCACATTGTAGAAATGCTAATATAGGCCATTTGGAGACATTTTTCTTACAAAGAGAAGATTATCGTTACTGCTGGGAAGTGTTCAGAAGCAGGAGAGGGTTTGCGAATTAACAAAGGAGCAGAGCACTTGGCTCGCCTCACGGTTGTTCAGCTACAGACAGTCCCGCTGCAGGGTTTCCTGAGGCCCCAGGTCAGAGCCCAGAAATGTGAGTGTCACTCTCGGTGGTAGATTGTCTTCTTCCCAAAGCCCAGAGGGCAGGAGCTCCGGGCAGAAAGTTCCTTCATTGTCTGCTGAAACGTGGGAGCAGGCAAGAATGAAACCTGAATTACTAGAACTTAGTGCAATTTGGAAATCAAATCTTGCCTAGCGAGAAAATCTACTGTGCTGGAAAAGTAAATCTGTTCTGAAGAGCCTGTCTCAAGCTTTGACTGATGAAAGAGCATTAAGGCTCATTAGCTGTGGTATAAGAGCTTTTATCTGATTTCTGGAATTTAAGACTTGAGATTGAAGTAGCCAGTAGGAGCCATGGGAATGGCTTATAGAATTAGGAAGTTTAAATGGAATTTACTTATACAAAACCGGGGCAGTTGCTGAAACCCTAGAAGTAAAAATTTCCTCATCTGTGTAGATGGGCAGGATCTGCCTCTGAACTTTACCTTTAAAATTTAGAAGATGCCAGCCATTCAGATGAGGACTTGCAGACTCTGTCAGGCACTACAAGGTGCAGTTTTCATAAACACTAACATCACTTTTAAATTTATGTATTAAAGCATAGGAGCTTGTTGGACTTTAGGCCTTGATTCACTGAGGCTCAGCATAATCATTTCGGTAGTGACGGGGCTATGGGGGTAGGGGTGGGGGGGGGTGGTTGCATGGTGCAGGGCACAGGGCAGCCGACGCTGAGAACATACGGCAGTGCGCACAGAGACTTAAATTTTTTTCCTGTTCCGTGTTTGTTTTTAAAAAAATTTTTAATGTATGTTTATTTTTGAGAGAGAGACAGCATGTGCAGGGGAGGGTCAGAGAGAGAGGGAGATACAGAATCTGAAACAGGCTCCAGGCTCTGAGCTGTCAGCACAGAGCCCGACGTGGGCTTGAACCCACTAACCGTGAGATCATGACCTGAGCCGAAGCTGGACGCTCAACGGACTGAGCCACCCAGGTGCCCCTCCGCGTGTTTTTTTTTTTTTTTTAAAGAAAAATTTATAAAATCAAGCTTACTGAAGTATAGTTTACATATAATAAAAGTCACTATTTTTAGTGATCAGTTCTAGTGTTCTGACAAATGCATATAATCATGTAGCCACCATCACACTCAGACTTGGGAACGTTTCCGTGATTCCACAGAGCGCCCCCTTCCCCCGCGCTGTCTCCTCTCCCTCCCCTCAGGCCCCATCTAATGGTCACCTGTTTTGTTTTTTGTTCCCACCGTTTTGCCTTTTCCATAATATTCCAAATATTTTGTTTTGTTCTTAAATTTCACGTAAGAATTATCATATGGTATTTGTTTTTCTCTGACTTATTTTGCTTAGCATAGTATTTTTAACTCCATCCATGTTGTTGCAAATGGCAAGATTTCATTCTTTTTTATGGCTGAGTAGTATTCCATTGTATATGCATACCGCATCTTCTTTATCCATTCATCAGTCAGTGGACACTTGGGCTTTTTCCATAATTTGGCTATTGTAAATAACACTGCTATAAACATTGGGGTGCATGTATCCCATTGAATTAGTATTTTTGTATTCTTTGGGTAAATACATAGTAGTGTGATTGCTCAGTCGTAGGATACCTCTATTTTAACTTTTCGAGGAACCTCTATACCGTTTTCCAGAGTGGCTGCACCAGTTTGCATTCCCGCCAACAGTGTAAGAGAGTTCCCCTCTCTCTGCATCCTTGCCAACACCTTTTGTTTTTTGTGTTGTTGATTTTAGCCATTCTGACAGGTGTAAGGGGATAGCTCATTGTAGTTTTGATTCGTATTTACCTGATGACGAGTGATCATGAACATCTTTGCACATGTCTGTTGGTCGTTTAGATGTCTTCTCTATTCATATCTTCTGCC